CGGCGGCCCCCGCCCCGTTCCCGCTGCTGTACCCCGGCATCCCCGCCCCAGCTGCCGCAGCCGCCGCTGCTGCCGCCGCCGCTGCCGCCGCTGCCTTTCCCTGCCTGTCCTCGGTGTTGTCGCCCCCTCCCGAGAAGGCGGTCGCCGCAGCCGCCGCCGCGACCCTCCTGCCTCACGAGGTGGCGCCCCCTGGGTCACTGCATCCCCCTCACCCGCACGGGCGCACCCACCTGCCCTATGCCGGCCCCCGCGAGCACGGGAACCCGGAGAGCTCTGCTCAGGAAGATCCCTCGCAACCAGGGAAGGAAACTCCCTGAAACCTTGCGTCCCTTTCTTAGAAAGGACGAAGGTTCACGCGGAATAATAATATTAAGTTAAAACACCCTTAACGTTTTTAAGGGAGGAAGTGTAATTGATGCACGACCGGCTTTAAAAAAAACAACAGGTGTTTTGTGTACATTTGGAGTTCTATTTTGCTCATCCTTCACCACCCCACCCTCCACACACTAACATCCCTTTCTTCCCCCACCAGCTGTAAAAGAACCTTCGCGCTAGATATTGATTCCTTTTTCTTTAAAGAACTCCCTGAAGTAAGTTTTGCCTACCTTTAGGCCACGTTCCATTGTCTTTTAAAATACAGAACCTAATTCTCGAGGAAGTGAGAGGAGTCTCCTCTGTGGATGAGCTGATTGAACCAGGGTATGGGAAAGGTGGCTGAGGAGTTGACATCGAACAGCAAGTAGTTATCTGTCAATGACTCAAAGCTGTCTTGCCTGCTTCAGGAGACTTCTGCCTGAAAACAGAATGAGGATCTTAGAATTGAATTTACTCTTCAGTATATTATAAAGTTCAACTCTTTAAAAGGCATGTATTTTTCAGAGGAAGAGGAGAAGATGCAGTCGCTCATGTTGCAACCTATTCTGGAGTGGTTTGAATGGTATCCCTTAGTAACTTGCACTTGTTTAAAGAGACACGGAGTTGGGCCATCGTCAGAACCAAGTCGGGGAAGGGGATAGATGAGGAAGGCCAGAATTATTCTTAGTATATTTGCTGGCACTTTATTGAGAAATTGACAATGAATCAATTGACTCATCGTATGTATACGTATGTATGTATGTGTGTGTATATACACACATATATACATATATATAGCATCTATTCCCACTCTGCCATTATTTAATCCATCACGTTCCTAGATTTTGATAATCTTGCTGTAAAAAAAAGAATGTGCACTGAATTTAAAAAAGAAAACAAGTCCAAACTGATTTATCCTACATTCTGTTAAATCACAAGAGGAGGAAAATATTAAACTCATCAGTTTTGATTGGAAATGCTGTAAAGATGTGGAATGAAGCCCTGTGAGGCCTTCCTATATCCAAGTCTATGTATTTTCTGGAGACCAAACCAGATACCAGATAATCACAAAGAAAGCTTTTTTAATAAGGCTTAAACCAAGACCTTGTCTAGATATTTTTAGTTTGTTGCCAAGGTAGCACTGTGAGAAATCTCACTTGAATGTTATGTAAGGGGTGAGACACAACAGTCTGACTATGAGAGAAGAAAATATCTGGGTCTTTTAGTCAGTTTGGTGCATTTGCTGCTGCTGTTGCTACTGTTTGCCTCAAACGCTGTGTTTAAACAACGTTAAACTCTTAGCCTACAAGGTGGCTCTTATGTACATAGTTGTTAATACATCCAATTAATGATGTCTGACATGCTATTTTTGTAGGGAGAAAATATGTGCTAATGATATTTTGAGTTAAAATATCTTTTGGGGAAGATTTGCTGAAAAGTTGCACTTTTGTTACAATGCTTATGCTTGGTACAAGCTTATGCTGTCTTAAATTATTTTAAAAAATAAATACTGTCTGCAAGAAACCAGCTGGTTTAGAAAAGTTTAGTATTTGAAAATAAACTAGAAATTATCTTTATATTCCAGTATTTTCAGCACTCCATAAATTCTATTACCTAAATATTGCCACACTATTTTGTGATCTTAAAATTCTTACTAAGGAATAAAAAATTTAATATACGATATGAGATTGTTTAATAATTAAAAAGACATGATACTCAATTTTAAGATATCTATAAATATAGGAATGAAAGTTATTCAGGTTCTCAGATATACAACTTTATTGATCATTGGCTTGATAGCACACGTTTCCAGTCTCTTACAAGCCTGTAGGCTCTGGTTGTGTCTACCTACTTGTTCCCAGTGTATCTTAATGAAAAGTGCCAAAGAAAACCTACCAATCACTTGCATGATTTGTTTATGTTAGACTCAATTTGCTAATTTTTTATGATCGATGAATTTTTCACTTTTCATCTTTGAAACCAGATAGCCTCTGTTGTATGGTCTGGTGTGTTTCTCTTTAACTGGGTCCCATATCAACATATTACCACGTAGAGTTGCTTAACTTTTCAGTATATTTTAGCTCCTTGACCTTTATAAAACAATTGTCTTCTGGGACTTACGAAATTCAAGGAACAGAAATTATTTTTAACCTTTTCTCAAATTTATTATCAGATTTGTGATTTGATAAAACTGAGGGATTGTCAATTTTTAGTTTCAGTAATGTTCTTCACAAACCCCTTAGTTTTTGAAAGATATTGAAATAATAGCCAAAATTTATGACATGTAGCAAAAGTGCTCCCTCTGCTGACTTTATGGCAACAGAATCGCCAAGTCATAGAAAGTGATGTCAGAAGGAACCTTAGATATCAGCTTGTCCAGCCTCCTGCATTTTACAATATGAGGTAAGTGAAGCCCAGAGATATCAAATATCTTCCCCAGGTCACACAGCTACCTGGAGCCAGCACTAGAGGCCAGATCTGTTGTATTCCCCAGTCAGTGAACTACTTCCCACTGTGGCATCTTGAACCAAGTAAACTGAATTTTGATTGCACAGCATTCATGAAACATCCTGAATAAACCACAGAAACAAAAATTAACATTAAAAAACCATGTAGGATTTTTGAGGACTGTAATTTATTGAACTTTAGAAGGGTATTCATTCTAAACCAGAATTATGGGAAAAATAGCATTTTAAATATTTGGAGCTACATTTTAATACCATATTGTAATATTAGTTTCATAACCAAAAAGATTCAAAGTAAATCAGAGGATAATATTTTAGCATTTGTATAATTTTGGTATAATAAAATAAAAAACCTAGAGTTGGACCAGATATTATAGGTCAATTATTTCGTCCAAAGGCCTATATACTAACATGGTAATAAGATAAAGTTAGGATAGACTTGTACCTGGAAAATGTTATTTTGGTCATCGATTTATTTCAATGAATTTAAACAATGAATTAAAACACGAATTATAATTGAGTCTTTATGTCATTATAATTCGTTAAACAGGGTTCTATACCTGCAGTGGTAAAATTTTAGCCAAAATCAATTGCCATATATGTATGATTTTTCAACTCGAGACAAATATGAATATTGAGTCAATAATGCTTTTTACCTGTATTATACCAATTAATTTTACATACATATATTTCTCTGAAAATCTTATATTGAATTAATAGCTTTTTTTTTCCCCTAAAGAGCTAAGCACATTTTTAAGGCACTAGAAACTATAAATTAATAGCTATTTAAAATACGATTGGACTTTTAGTTCCTATAATTGTGAAAACTATTTTTCATTTAGTTATCTGTTGCTGCCCATACAGGCCATAACTTTGGTTATTGCCTATCACCTTAGATTTGTTCAAAAGTATGTAAAAGAAGCCTCCCCCTCTTTCTATGTCATGGTCAATTTTGAACCTCTCCATGGGAGGTGACTGGCAATTGAGATCCTGGGAAGACATGGTCGGGCCAAACAGACTTAAGATCTTTTACTTTAGAAATGAACAGAGCCTTCATGAATGAATTAACGACCATTATAATGCCAAAAGATGGCTGTACTATTATAATAGTATTTTACTTCAGTGAGCAATCTGATAGTTTTAATGAAACAATAATTCTTAATCTGTTGGACTCCCAGATCAATATATTTAAGCTCACCCATTGTTCTGTGTTGTATTAAATAAGTTCAAAATGGGTATACAGTGCATGCTAAAGTCCAATGAAAGTTCAGTTTTTCATAGAATTTAACAGGATTAATGTGGAAAATTATTTTTTCTGTGATTAAGATTTAGTATAAGTTTTATACTAAACCACATGTGCAGCATGTACTTTAAAAATATGCTCCTAGAAAGGAGAAGGACATTTGTTTTAAAATTGAGGTTCCCGTACCTTTCTAGTGATTACACATTGAAACTTCCAAATGAATGTAAAATTATACCTTTTTAAAAGTTGATATTTAAAGATTCTCAGTGATCCCTATTTATCTGGCCTCAAGGAATGATATGTGCCCCCATAAAACAATGGTTCAGAACATTGAAGCTTCTATGGTTAAGTGCTAAAGTCATCTTCTTTTTTTTTATTTTAGTGAAAAGCTTACTAAAATGTTATATATATCCTCTTAAGGTGTCTTACACATGTCTAGAAAAAAATACCCTATACATAGTTAACCTTTCTCAATCGAGTTCATCATTATAAATATATATGTTATCTGGGAGTATTGGCATCTGCATTAAATTCTTTTCGAGTTCTTATATCTGCTTTTTATAGGTTTTTCTTCAGTCTCTACTCATGGTCAGGCTGCTAACTGTCACTTCTTGATGTGTTAGAGAGTCTGCCTCTAACTGTTATACAATTTGCTGCCTATGACTTACTGTGGCCTGGGAAACCATTTAACCAAAACCATACACATTTGAAATGTGTCTAAAATTAGAATAAATAGGCTTTGACAGAGTACCTGTTGGACACTTCTCTAAGTTGTGTGAGCTTGTAGATCAGGGACATGTTTCTCCTCCCAACCTTTTTCTTTTCGTTTCTTTCACTTTCACATTCTTAGCAATGTTCAATTTCAGAACACTATGCAAAACCCTTCAAATACATTACATATTATGATCATTTAATTACATTAAAAAGCTTGCTAATGATTTTATTCCACAACTAACTACAAAATAAATTTCTGTGCTAGAAACAAAGTATTTGATTTGACTAACACTTCTTTCTTTCAGCTTGATAGGAATAGTAAACCAAGGGCCATCAGTGAATACTGATTCAGCGTTTTGATTTATGGAAAACCCCATCCTCTGCTTCTGGTGTATAATCTCTCTTCACCTCTGGGTTTTGAGCATCTTGGGCGGCAGGTCCACAAAAGCATTCTGGGGAATTGCCAGGGAGGATGCTTAGGCCCAGATGTTGCATCTGAATTTAGACACACACATTGGAGAGCCTCTGGTTGAGAGGTTTCAGACTCCCCACTGATTGCAACACACTTCTTTTCTCCTTGAGCCTGTAGATTCAATAAATAGTGGGTATAGGGATACAGATATTTGTTTTGCTCCTACTATAAGTGAGTTGCCGTGGTAAGTGCTAGAAAACCAAAGATTAATAATCTCTGAGGATCTCAAGGTCTAGGGGTGACAGATCTACACTAAAATGGATTTATAATGAAACATGGTAAGTGCTTATGCAGGGGGTGAATACTGTACTGAGGGGTGTGAGGGTTGCTGACTTTATCTGGGTGGATCAGAGAAGGCCTTGAGATGTAGCTGGGTTTTGCAGAATGAACAGGAGAGTGAATCCATGGGGCTCTCTCCAAGGAGAAGGCTCTGGCACACTCTGGTACTGTGCTAAGAACCAGGACAGTTTATTATATTTGACTTGAGGTCTGAGCAAGGATTTCCTAACTTCTCAGTCTTTAGAACTTGACTGCTATACTGGCTCTCATCATTTCCTCCTAAGAATCTGAACCATAAACTGGGACTAAGAGATCATGGAATTTCCCACTGCAAAGGATAGCATTCATAGCATGATAACGTCTCATGTAGTAGGGGGAAAAAGACAAAACCAAGTACCTTGCAATCAATCAACTCTGTCTGACCTCATCCGTCTGTTTTACAAAAGAAGCTGTGGGTGACTTCTTTCCTGAGAACCTAAGAGGCAAAGTAGACTTTGTTGGTGGAGAGGAAAGATTATCACTGAGGTAATAGCCTGTCTACATTATGGCATAGCGCATGCAAAATTAGAGAAATTCTGAAGAAACAATTTTCAAGATCCCCTACAAAGAATCATACAATTTTGCCGCCCACTCAATTTGGAGACATCCAGAAATGTGCCTTCCCTGCTGTGGAAGTCCCCACATACATAATCCGATGAGCTCTCCACCTCTGCCTCCAGCCCTCCCACCTATAGGGTTCTGGTTGAACTCTAAAGGTTCCACATGAAAGAAGGGATCAAAGCAAGTTATGAAGCCGAACACAGGAAACCTTTAGAATTGAGGAAATAGGAAAGAAGGCGATTTGTTATACTTTAAAATATGGAGTATTTCGAGGGCATTGTAAATTTACCTACTGTTTCAATTTGAGGTCTTTTACATATGGGTATGCACATGTGTATACAAGAGAGTATCGAATGCTTCACAACGGAGGTATTGAGTATCTGGCACATTGTTCTTTAATAAACTTTGCTTCCAAATATGGCTTTACAGGTTCCGCACTGGGTTTCGAAAATTAGTTTTAACAGGGAAACTTCAGCCTGGATCCAATTCCTGAAGACCTCAGGTACGTAATCAGCAAAGTCCCTATAATATGACATTTTAAAGAAACCGGCTTCTCTTTCTATGATCCTTTAAGCAGGACTTGGTTTTCGAATATATTATGTTGAACAAGACTTATCTGCATAGCTATAACGTAGCTGTTGTGATCTACATATGACGGAAATGATGAAGAAACCTGACAGTATGCCCGCACCCCGGAGAGCTCGGCAGATACAAGTGAGTGTGATGAAGGATTTATTTCTGAGCTGTGGTTGAAAAGCACTCCCTTAAAAACTGGTAAACCAACCCTAGCCCCTTAAATCGCCCTTCCAGGATTGCGTGGTACGGGAATAGCAGGGGGAAATAATGTCATCAGCCTTGAGATCTTCAAGGAGCTCCAGGGTTGGAAAAAGAGAAGCATTCTTAGGTTGCC